CAAAAACCTGATTGTTAGTGCGAATCCCAGTTCGACCCAATTATGTTTCTAGGTTTGCCAGCAGCATACACCGTGCACGTGGGTTTCACCAAAGTGGCAAACGTTTGGGCCTGCAACACTTCGGGCTTTCCTCCAAACATTAAGCTGAGACGCCCTGATATAACTGGAATACTGTTAAAAGCGGCGTTAAACCGACTCACTCACAAGAATTAATTGATTTAAATACAATATAATGATAATTTTAGTTTGAAAGCAAACATGCAACAGAATTGTTATTGGATACGTAATTCAACATTATTCCACCACCCCCAAACCCATCCCCACCCCCTTCCCGTGTCAATGGAGTGCCTGGTCCTTCACTTGATTGTCTGGTCAAGACTAGATTGTTTACAGGCACGACGATCGTACGACTTACGTTTTCATGCAAATTGTGTGAGTGGCGGGTCCTACCTGTAGTGCAGGACTTGCTTACCTTTTTCGCGAACACCTGGTGTCGATATTGGTTGTCAGTCATCCATTCAGATAAGTTTCACCGCTATTTTGACTTTCACGCCCAATGGAATATGTTCCGTCGGATGATTGATTACTCTCTAGCGTCGGTAGTTTATATTTTATTGAAGCAACTACAATGAGAAACCACGCTTTATAAATTATTCAAGATTTGTGAAAATGAGTCAAACAATTTAGTTACTTTGTCATTATTTCCCCACAGACAAAATTCTATCACCTTGACAACAGAAATGTATTTGACAATATAATTGAATGATACATTATTGCTCATGCCTACTAAACCATTAAATACAAAAGCTTAAATCTATAACCCGTTGCCTGGTGACTGACATATCATTTATACTATGGTGTGACGTCCGTAACAACACGTAGAGAACGTCTTCCCCCAGTAGTGTTGTCAACACAAACAAGGAATATCGATCATTTAAGAGAAAGGAAATTATCAGTCAGAAAACATATATCAGAATCGACAAGAGCTGACATTTCTAGACGCTGATGAAAGTCAGGTTTTTAAACGCTGTTTCTACAATTTAGACGAAGGATATTATTATTTAATTCGTTATTACAGTATGATGGGCCACATGGTCAACAGTTAATCCAAAGTCTATACATAATTCGGAAGTCCTGAAATAAATATGATGTGGGTAAAAATATTATGTGTTTTTATCATTTACCTTTCAGTGAGAAACTGCAGGTCTTTCTCAAAAAAGAGGGTGGCATATATTTGAATCATCATAGTGGAATCGGGTGGGATGGTTCACTTGGTCCTACAATCAGTGTAGCAGCCGCATATCCGTTTACATCATAATATACATAAATACAAATACACACTCACGCAAACACACACTCACGTACGTACGAACGCACGAACTCACGAACTCACGCACGCACGCACGCACGCACGCACGCACGCACGCACGCACGCACGCACACACACACACACACACACACACGTGTGCATATGTATGTCAACGCAAGAGAATAATCAGTCTCGGTTGCCTGCAGATTCCATTGAGCGTAAAAGACAATGTAACGATGTTAAATATATAACTCGATCACCGTGAATCAGATGTTCGCGAAAACTCATAAACTCGGGGTGTTGTTGACGGTGCCCCTCAGCAAAACAAGTGATTGTGAATACTGGTGATTAACGGATATTTGTCATGTGATCCATCATTTGAAATGATCCCTAACATTGGCCTGGTGCATGGTTCATGTTTACACTGCAACATGTACTTAACGATTGTTAAATTAGCCACCAGCACGTAGTGTCCCATGGGCCATCATTTCATTGCTGACCACATGATTGATGTGTCAGCCCGGGAAATACATGTCGGTGTAAGTAAACACATCTCGTCATACACTGCCAGGTAAAAGAAAGTATTCACTTAAAAATTGTGTTGGACCAAAATATTATCAATCATTATCAAAACGTTACAAGGCTGAAAACAGTCGCTGAAACACTGCAAACTTAAGGTCCAAAACACAACTTTGATACCTGCATCAAATACAGCGCCATCGTAGAACCATTTCTTGTTTGTTTCATTTCCACGGCAGTTGATTTCGGTAGCACTAACCAACATTGTGATTGAAGATATGAACATGCTTACAAACCTGAGTGAATGTTGTTCAGCGCCGTATTCAGTAATATTCCAAGAATATCACGGCGAGCTGTAAATAAATGAGTCAGAGCCGGACAAACATATGAAAGCATATTGCAATGACCCTCGGGACACCTTGACAAACTAGTGAAAGCATGAGCAGCCACCATCGGGACACCTTCACAAACCAGTGAAAGCATTTGAACCACCATCCGGACACCTTCACAAACCAGTGAAAGCATTTGAACCACCATCGGGACACCTTCACAAACCAGAGAAAGCATGAGCAACCACCATCGGGACACAATGACAAACCAGAGAAAGCATGAGCAACCACCATCGGGACACCTTCACAAACTAGTAAAAGCATTTGAACCACCATCGGTCCACCTGGACAAACCAGAGAGCACATGAGCAGCCACCAACGGGACACCTTCACAAACCAGTGAAAGCATTTGAACCACCATCGGGACACCTTCACAAACCAGAGAAAGCATGAGCAACCACCATCGGGACACAATGACAAACCAGAGAAAGCATGAGCAACCACCATCGGGACACCTTCACAAACTAGTGAAAGCATGAGCAGCCACCAACGCGACACCTTCACAAACCAGAGAACACATGAGCAGCCACCAACGGGACACCTTGACAAACCAGAGAACACATGAGCAAACACCATCGAGACACCTTCACAAACCAGAGAAAGCAAGAGCAGCCACCAACGGGACACCTTGACAAACCTGAGAACACATGAGCAAACACCATCGGGACACCTTCACAAACCAGTGAAAGCATTTGAACCACCATCGGTTCACCTGGACAAATCAGAGAGCACATTAGCAGCCACCATCGGGACATCGATCCTGCCCATGCGATCGACAAGTATATGATACTTGGAAATTCCGCGAATCTCTCGACCGTGAATGCTATTTTGATAGCAGTATGATGCGTCTAATGGACTCTGTTCATTATGTAACTCGGTGGAAATACATTTTGGCAGAAAAGGACTCATTATCACCAAATCTTTCCACCAGTAACGCCGGCGTCTTGGTGGAGCAACAACAACATCGAAGGGAGCACTCTTTGACTTCTTGTCACCCGAACATGTTTGATTTTGTGAAACTGATTAAGCCCGAGCGATCCAAAACCAAGGTGAAACATGACCTGTGTCGCTATGTTTTTCAGGAGACCAGGGGCTTCTGAGAACTAGGTACGGACTCATCAATGGCGACTTAAGAATGCCGACATATAATTACATTTAGTCTCTGAAATAAACATATTTTACAGGAGAAAAGTTGTTAGATAATAGTTAAGATATACAAAAGGAGCCAAAAGACTTTGTTCATATAGACAAGTGTTGTTGTTTCTCTACATGGGTCATGTTTATCAATAATAATGATAATGTAAATATGAAATGTTGCTTATGTCATGAATTTAATGAGACTGTCCAACACATTGTCAGTGGATGCCCATCTTTGGCACAAACAGTATATTAAGTATATTGATCATTTTATTACCGTCTTCGCCATGTTTGTGGTTTTGACACAGAGGTCCATCCATGGTACGACCCGAAATATGTAGAGGGCGTCGTGGCAAATGATAAATACAAAATTCTTTGGAATAGGCACGTACACAGCCTCAGACGTATCCAGGCCAACACACCTGATCTTGTCCTTTTTGATAAATCCAATAAAATCATTTATATCATTGAATTTTCTGTCCCCTATGACACTAATGTGATTGACAAGATTGAGGGAAAACATGGCAAATATGCAAAATGTCATGCTTGCATCCCAAGTACCAAGTTGTCCGACTCCCAGTTGTTCTCGGTGCCTTAAGTTTGGTACCTCCCAATCTGTTGACTGACTGGGAGAGTACCCGATTTTGCTGCCAGGAATACAGCCCTTCTGACAATCTGGGTAATGCAGAAGGCTGCAGTGTTGGGGAGCCTTGTGTGGGTTTGACAAGGCAGCGTTTCCTGGGAGAAGTCCCATTCGCTGTCTGGGCTGCGTGTGTAGGGAGGGGGCAAGGGCCCTGAGCTGATGATGAGCCTAACCAGCCGCACTGTGCCAGGATCACCCAAACCCTCTTTGCTGCATTTTTTTATTATTTTATAATTGCTCATGTTGTTGGGTCTATTATGAGCAAACTGAAGGACCGTTCCTTTGATATTCTTGTTGTTCAGTTTTCAACACATTGTTTTCAGCACATCCCACATGGTCTTTTTTTATTCCAGTTTGGGGCGGTGTGGTAGCCTAGTGGTTAAAGTGTTCGATCGTCACGCCGAAGACCTGGGTTCGATTCCCCACATGGGTACAAAGTGTGAAGCCCATGGCTGGTGTCCCCCGCCGTGATATTGCTGGAATATTGCTAAAGGCGGCGTAAAACCACACTCACTCACTCAATTATTCCAGTTTTGTTTATACAACACACGAGCTCTGAGTAAAATACTGTCATAATATATATCATGTATCACTCCATTGTCAATGTATATTGAATTTATTTCGTTTCCAATAATGACTGAAGACATAAATATAACCTCTTGTTGCCCTTCATGAAGCTGCGACTTTAATACGATTGTAACTCTCACACTCTAACACTGACAGTCGTAGCGCTAATATCGCTAATGCAAGCTACCTACATAGTTACTTAAAAGAAGCAATCGAGCCATATCCAAAGGCTGGAAGACGTACAGTAACACCTGACCAATTCGTCACAATGGAATACAAGTTTGGCACAGGGCACCAGTTATTACCACCATTTAGGCTTTTAACAACGTTCGCCCAAAATGAAAGCCTCTTTTGGGGAATAAGCAGTTCTTGAAATCTGTGCCAGATGACTACCTTTAAGATACGATATACTGATGCGTTTTCCTTGTGTCGCCAGATGTGGTGTGGGGCAAAGAGTGCCTCAAGAACCAACAGCTGGGAAAAGTTACAGGGAACACCTATCAGTGTGAGGATGCAGCTAAACCAGAGTGCTGTGAACAAGACAATTCTTTCACATGTTGCGAGTCTGCTGCCAACAGAAATTTGTAAGTAATTACTTTCTAACGCCTATCAATACGCACTGAATGCATGCTCTATTTTTAAGCAAATGCGTAACATGACATATATTCATGGCTCATCTGGTAGGGGAGACGGGGTAACCTAGTCTAAAGCCTTCGCTCGTGGAGCTGGGTGTTCGGGTTCGATTGCCCACATGGGTACAATGTGTGAATCCCATTTCAGGCATCCCCCGTGGTAATATTGGCGGAATATTGCTAAAAAGCGGCGTAAAGGTATCTCACTCACATCTCATGGGTATCTCTTTGTCCGTCAATATTAGATCACATGGCATTTTATTAAAATCAAACTTTGTACGATAGGGGTTCAGAAAATTCTGCAATTTATATGCAAAAGTGAGGACCATAAAGTTGACTTCATTCTTATTTTTTAATAAAATGGCGATTATCGAAATCGGACTTATCCGGATTTGTCAATACCGGACCACCTTTCAACATTATTTTTATTTCTTATTTCTGTAGCTCACCTATAACCTAACTAATCCGGACTTTTGACAAAACCGGACATAAAATTCTGCCCCAGATTCCACTGTATAATGACCCTCCTTTGTCAATGCATTTTGTCCAGTTGTCCTTCAGACTTGTTATCCGTCTATTATAGAAATGTTCTGATTGGCCCCCAAAACAGTCCTTAACAGCAGACTCTAAAGCATCATGGTCTCCGAAATGTTTTCGAAAGTTGTCGAAAGAGATAATAGGCACCTGGAACAACGTTTGAATTGTAGTTAACTTGGGTGTTGATTTCACCGAACTGTTCAAAGGCACATTCCCTCACAGCAGCCTGTGCAGCTCTTGACTATGTGAACTGGAGCATTATCGCGCACCAGCAGAAGACCACATATTAACATCCCTCTGCACTTTTGTCTTTCCTCACTTCAGTCAATATGTTGGCATAATTCTAAACTCACAACTGCTAAACACACCAGATTTGACAACGTCTGAATTCAACCTCTGCCCAAATTTGAAGCAAGAATTGTCTGGCGAGCGCTGTGCAAATCGTGCTGACGTCATTTCTGCTGTGAAGGCCTTCTTACACCGCCAAGAGGAAGCCTTAAACACAAGTGGAATCAAGGCACTCTGTCATCGTTGGCATAAGTGTGTGGACCTCGGAGGGGATTGTGTTGAAAATGGGTCAGGACATAAGTCCATCAATGTAGCCCATCATAGATAGGCTCAAAACCTTTCAGACACCTCTAGTACCTCGCCCCTGGTCCTCTTAATGCTTAACATGAGCTACGAGGCAATTTCATATCATCTCGTAAAATCTCGTTGTTGCCCAACAGGATAGAACAAGTGCAGCTGTGGGGCATCGTGAGCGCCATCGCCATCATCATCGGTGTCCTCCTCTTCTGCCTATGCAAGGACGTCAACTACTGCGCATCTGACAAGACGGTCAAAGAGAAGGTGCAAGAGGTATTATGTAGGTGAGTAACAGGTAGCATATGGGTATTACAGATTGTACACGTGACAGGCATTGATGTTGATGCTACTTATGGTATGCAGGTATATATGTGTTTGGGAAAGTTACAGGTATAATTGGGGCAGTAGGGTAGCGTAGTGGTTAAAGCATTTGCTCGTCGCGGGTTCTATTCCCCACATTGGTGCCATGTACGAAGCCCATTTCTGGTGCCCCCTGTCGGGATATTGCCGGAATAGTGCTAAACGCGGCGTAAAACCCTATGCACTCACTCAAAAGTAAAATGTTGACGACACTGTGGTATGTAGGTATGACGGTATGTTACAGCATATATAATGATAACGTTACAGTGGTATGTAGGTAAGCTACAGGCATACGGTGAATGTTACAGATGGTATGTAGGTACGTTACAGGTATAATGTTTGATGTTACAGGTGGTATGTAGGTATGTTACCGGTATAATGTTGATGTTACAGATGTATGTAGGTACGTTACCGGTATATGCAGAAGTTACAGGTGGCATGTAGGTACGTTACAGGTATAATGTTGATGTTACAGGTGGTATGTAGGTACGTTACAGGTATAATGTTGATGTTACAGATGATATGTAGGAACGTTACAGGTACAATGTTGATGTTACAGGTGGTATGTAGGTATGCTACATGTATAATGTAGATGTTACAGGTGGTATGTAGGTATGCTACGTGTATAATGTAGATGTTACAGGTGGTATGTAGGTATGCTACATGTGTAATGTAGATGTTACAGGTGGTATGTAGGTATGCTACATGTATAATGTAGATGTTACAGGTGGTATGTAGGATGTATGATAATAAGACTCGCTGAATAACATATGGAATTAAGATGGTTTGACCTTGATGTAAAACAAGACGAGACAAGTCTTGATTAAGGCGCAATTGTTTTAGAGTTGACAGTTGACTTGCCTTTGCAAGTGTTTGTGACGGTAAAAATGGTGGGACAGGCCACGCTCACCTTTTCAAACACTTGGTATCATCATTATTTGATAATAATTCACGAACACATGCGTATGATATAGTCGGAATCGTACAGTGGATTTTTTGTGATTATAGGAATGTTTTTGACGCTTTTATTTACAACTGCCATCTGCTGTTTAGTTCGTTCAACTATTATTATTATTATTATCATCATCATCATCATCATCATCATTATTATTATTTTCGTATCTCTCGACAATCTAATTCGAGAACCAAAATTGTAATACTGTTTTGAAGGTAAGGGTTCGTTTATTATCATATTTGATATTTGGTCGTGCTTTTACAGGCGCAACAATAAACTGGATGATGCAAGCAAATGCGACAGCGAATACGACGACATAAACACTGGTCCGTCAACGTCGCCGGTCACCAGTCTATCATCCAACGACCCTTCAACAAGGCCGACAACTGTCGACAAAATGTAACTCAGAAGGGACACCATTCGCGAACAAAGGGACATAACTCGTGTAAATAGTAATGGCGACGCAGACATTGTGTAAAACAAACACTTGGCCTAAGTTTTAAAAGGGTTGGCGAAAAGGAACTGCTCACACAAAGGATTTAGCGCTTTTTATTTTCATCTGAATACAATATTTTTGTTATGGAAAATAAGTTTCTTGAACAGGAGAGACTCTTACGAAATGGGAACAGGGTTCAAACCTGCTTTTGGTAAGCCGGACGCCGAGTCCTGGAAAGTGGTATTCTGGTGCAGTGCGGTGGGTGCCATGAAATGACTATATGATGCTAATATTTCCATTTTATTTTTCGTCTTTTCTCCCTAAGATTATCAGCACACGTAGTCATGCATTCTATGTGAAAATCTCAGTTTAATTTGCACTAATATGACTTCTTAAATTGGATGCCAAGACAAATTAAGTAGTATGCCGGGATGCCTGGAGGGAGCGGGCTGGCACCCTCACATCTTTCAAACATTTAGACATTGTAATCTTTAAAGGGACTCCTTGATTGTGTATGGATTGTGGGCCAAGCCTGGAAGCAAATACCATACCTAATATTTATTTCACGACAGTGACACATACTTGCCCGTATGTTTCCAGGAAGTCACGTGATACATGGTTCTGAATCTTGGATGATTCCAAAATTGTTCTTGTGCTCTAGATACTCAAAGATATCTGTGCAACTGTACTGTATGAATAACGTATTGGAATCGTTTGCAAGATTAAACTTTGACTGATCTTGGTGACATTTGATAACATCATTGACCGAACCATCACGATGTTGCAGAGGTCGATCAAATCTCTAGACTGACTTTACAAAGCAAATCTCCCTAAGGCCAGAGATGCGCACGTCATTGCAGAGAGATTGCGCAAAAGTATTGAGATTGAGTCACGTGCCGGAAATGACGTAACAGTGATGCATAATACTAACTGTTGACACCGACTCGCGCCTTACTTATGTTGTATATCTTATTGTTTCGTCGTCATGGAAAACCTCGACTTCATATTGATGCAAACCGTACTAGTGGTGGCTGGAAAATATACACTTTAACAAGTCAAATAAATGTTTAATGTTCAGGCAATGGTCATATACTGATTATTCTAGCCACAGAAATAACAGTATCTGTGATCAGATTTCAAAAGGAAGTATGCAAGAGCTTCGAGCTTCACATATGTGTTTTTTAACAAACCACTTTAATTATGTACTAGTACTCATCAATTCCAAAATGTGCTTTTATCTGTATTAATATGATATTTTCTTATGATATAATTATCAATCATCTTCTCCTTTATAAGAATTTCGGACAGATTATACATTTATTATTATTGTTTTCTGAAATCTTTTTAACTGCAAAGACAACCCAATGTTTGGTGTTTGTATTCACTTGAAAACAGAAGTTAAGTCATGTGTTCATTTTCCTCGGTATCCTTCCTTGTATAAATTCTTGTTCTGAGAAAAGTTGTTAATATTACCTGAAGGAGCTTGGACAAGGATATATAAAAGTTTGAGATTGAAGCAAAATAGAGTGCCTCATATTAGTTTACCTATTATATTAAGATGGTTAAAAGGGAAATTTATACATCTGGTGTGAGACCATAATTTGTAATATCCTGTCGCAGTTTGGGAACTGTTTACAAAAGACTTCATATATTCTTAATTACAACCATGCCAGTAATGTTGACTCATACCATTGTAAGCTGTTTTCACTGACGTCCGCGCCAAAGACAATTCAAGATGGCTCCTAAATAATCGCTAAGATATTTGTATTTGAAGCTGGTTTTCTAATTGAAACAAAATTGTCTTTAAATCACGATATTGTTCTTTCATGAGGAAGCCTGATGCATTTTTCAGAATTTATTTTTATATTTCACTCTATGCTCTGAAACAAAATAATATGCTATCGTACAAACGAGGAGATCTGCTGACGCTATTATCTATGTAATGTATATACCGTAAGCACAACACAATAAATGTATACAATTGTTAACACTGTTTGAAATTGAAACAATGTAATACTTAAAACATATTTTGCGTAACCGCATTATCAGTGGTTAATATTGGGAAAGGGAGATCACTCTAATTTCAATCGGGTGCTGTCTCCGTTGTTTTCGTATTTACGAAAAATGGCGTCAGTCACGCTGAACGTTGACGTTGGTCCAATTATTTATTGGCCATCTAATCCCAAGGGTAAACCGTATTCTTAATTAAATGTTTGAAGACAATATATATTTTTCTTCCCATCCGTAAACTTTAATATTAAAAACGGTGCTTGCCAATGGAATTAATAACTCGTAAATATTCGTTTTCAACAAATGTGGGACCAGTTTATATCTTAATAGAGATGACTGCAGGTGGGCCCACATTTTAGAAAGTCGATAGTTGTCATATGTTGAGTGTAATATGTACGTCTTCTTTGGTTGGTTAAGTGCTGGTAGCAATTTTCTAAAATATGGGCCCACTTTCCCCCTGTCATATATGGTGACCCAAACAAGTGGGCCTACATTTGTATAGGACTACAGAAAAGCTTTATTAGGTTGGCATGGTGCTGATATTCTATTTCTAAATTTGGGCAGGTATGTTTGGCAACAGGAAGGACCACATTTATAAATCGTGAAGATCCATTAAGTTACTGATAACCTTTTTCTATAACGTGGGCCCACATTGTTCCCGTCATTTATGGTGATCGAAACAAGTGGGCCCACATTTGTATATCGCCTAGCTTCATTAGGTTGCTCAATTAGATCTGATAATCAGTTTCTAAATGTGGGGACACATTTTCCGTCATAATGATTGCAACAGGAGGGACCACATTTATAAATCGCTAATCTTCATTAGGTTGGCTTACTTATAATCATTTTCTAAGATGTGGGTCCACTTCTTCCGGGATATATATAGATCTAGTGATCGATACAGGTGGGGCCACATTTGTAAATCGCTAGCCTCCATTTAGTTGACTAAGTCATTTAGTGGTCTCACATTTGTAATTATTTTGTATGTTTTTTATAAATTATTTAGTGTAACGTACGTTACCTCCACGATAGGTACACAAAGTCCGTGAAGTTTCAATGACGTCATCAGCTGATCACTCGCGTTCCAAAACAAAGTTTTGCAAAAATAATAACAACGCAAAAAACGTACTACAAGTTACATTTGAGGGACAATACCATACAATCCACGTTTTCCAGTATAACACATCAATCTAATCATAAATGTCGGTGGCGATATAAACCTGAAAATTATGTCTATACTTGAATCGAACTCGGTCATGATAGAAGCCGGAACTAGTTCCATAAAAGGACAACTCTTAAATATTAATGACCCCACGACCTAGTTTTGCGATGTTTGTACAAGTGAGTTCTGCTGTAGTTTCAACGCATTTGTATATTCTAATCCAATTAAAAGTCACAATACTCATTTTAAATAGACGAAATAGTAGTTCGTAATGCAGATTTTTGACGTAGTACATATTCTCTGCAACAAGTGCGTTAAGTTTCGAATGTTGGCCCATCTCAAACTTTTGATTAGGAAAGCGGAGTTAGCTCCCTACTCGAACCACCGATAATGCGGTTTCACATAAACCGTAACATATTGCGTATCACTAACCCCCCCCCCCCCCCCTTCCACCCCCCCCCCCCCCTCCCCCATTCACACACACACACACCACCATCGTGATCAGTCTTACTCATTGATATATAGACAGATAGATTTATTTCTAACCTACGTGTACTAATATGTCAGATAAAACGCCACTTAATGTTAGCGATGTTTAATCAACGATGAACCACCTCAAAATTTAAACAGAATAGGTATATCCCCATTCTACCATGACTAAAATGGGTTGTTTTTTAAACTCTTTTTCTTCAAATTTAGCACAAATAACCAATCCTTGTAGAATAAATATTAATCATAGGTAATATTCAATGAATGCGATATCTTATTGTTCATCTATACCATGCCAAGTGTTCCAATGGGTTTTTTTACCAGAAAAATATTATGTACGAAGTGATAAAACCCATTCGTTGCACAAAATATTTTTATTCATCACCAAATTATCCGTATAAGATATGTAAATTCTTCAAATTGTATTTTTCATTGCAATTAGACTTGGTTTCAAATATACAATAACGTTATCGACGTAAGTACGCCACGGAAGACGTCATCATGAAATCAATTATTCATGACAAGGGAATGATGCGGTGTTTATTAATGGCGGCGTTTTGTTGCCACCGTTTCAACACCCAACCACAGTACGTAATACAACAAGGGGGACTATTAAGATGATCAAGAGGTTAGCCATTCCCTATATGTAAGGTGGATATGAATAATTACAGCTGTGTTTGGTTTCAAAATATAACAGAATCCAATACGTTTTCTGAGAAGAATTGTTGCCATGGTTACCATGTCAAATATTGTAATCCTAGAATATACTGTGAATGCTACTCAATATAACATTCCTCAAGGCATTTATTATTAATTCGGTCATGAAATTGATGGTACATATTCAGCTCCATGTATATTTATACATTTCTTGACTCAAGTGTTTCATTTCGTTGTACATGTATTAACTGTGGTCTCCAATGACAGGGACGCCATCCTCGTTGTTGAGGGGAGTCATCGTGTTACAAGCAAACGCTGTGGATATGCTAACATGATTCTATAGAACATAAGGGGCCAACAATTTAACATCTGGGAATGTGGAAGTCGGTGTTTAGGGTTGAGGGGAGGTGTAATGACAGGCTTAATGGTTACTATTTCTATTTCGTATTTTCTGAAAGGCGGAACCGAACAATAAAAATATTAAGACACCTATTTTCAGGACATCATGCTTATCCATCGAACAATTTCGATTTTTTTAAACCAGAGGCAAATATATTTTCCATTATTTTATGGAGCAAATTATTGTTTTCAAGAATACCAAATTATGAGTCTCTAACTTGGTTGACAGTTTTGGGGTAAATTGTTCAGGGAATAGTGACATCGATTGAGGCAATGCCCTTGGGTTTTTATGGTAACGATGATGGATACCGAAGAGGCATTATACTCAATGTATTCACCATGAACAGCCCTATGTAAAGTGTTGTCAATATAACATTGATGGCGATGGGATTATGTGTTTATAACCAAAAACCTGTTAACAGTTCAAGATACATTTATTGTATTTGTGATACCAATCCACATACACCGTCCACGTGATCGGATAGACATCACTCAAATCAGCCTTCTCTAAACCCTATCCCCAACCAGGCCAACCCAATCCGTCCTAAAGACTATTCAACTTTCAGCTCAAGGTACGAGTATAAAACTGTCATCAAACCTAGTCCTAATGCTAACCCTACATAACCAACTTTAATCATAACTCTACTCTACACGTCAAACTAACTTTAGTCATAACTCTACTCTACACGTCAAACCAACTTTAGTCATAACTCTACTCTACACGTCAAACCAACTTTAGTCATAACTCTACACGTCAAACCAACATTTATCAAACCCTACTCTATCCGTCAAACCAACTCTAATCATAACTCTACTCTACACGTCAAACTAACTTTAGTCATAACTCTACTCTACACGTCAAACCAACTTTAGTCATAACTCTACTCTACACGTCAAACCAACTTTAGTCATAACTCTACTCTACACGTCAAACCAACATTTATCAAACCCTACTCTATCCGTCAAACCAACTCTAATCATAACTCTACTCTACACGTCAAACCAACTATAGTCATAACTCTACTCTACACGTCAAACCAACATTTATCAAACCCTACTCTATCCGTCAAACCAACTTTTATCATAACTCTACTCTACACGTCAAACCAACTTTAGTCATAACTCTACTCTACACATCAAACCAACATTAATCAAACCCTACTCCATCCGATAAACCAACTTTAATCATAACTATACTCTAAACGTCAAACCAACTTTAATCACGACCATACTCTATACGCCAAACCAACTTTAGTCATAACTCTACTCTACACGTAAAAGCAACTTTAGTCATAACTCTACTCTACACGTCAAACCAACTTTAGTCATAACTCTACTCTACGCGTCAAAGCAACTTTAA